TTCACAACTTCTTCTCCTACTCCGGAGATCACTTCAAATCCAGAAAATTTTTCTGGTTCTGCTGCTCAATCAGAAGGTAATCTGGTCATAAAAAGAACTAGAAGGTAAACCTCATGCTACAGTTTTTTTCTCCTCCCAGTCGTCCCCTAATTGGATCCTCGATTCTGGTGCTACGGATCATATGACTGGTAATAAGGATTTGTTTTGCAATTTTTTTCCAAACTTTGGTAAAGCTGTCAAAACGGCTGATGGTTCTTTGAGCAAAATAGAAGGACATGGCACTGTTATTCTCAATGGCCAGATTGTACTTGAAAATGTCCTCTTCGTACCAAATCTGGCTTGCAATCTCGTTTCCGTTAGTAAACTTTCCACCGACTTGCACTGCTTTGCAATTTTTAATGATATTGATTGTACTTTGCAGGCACTGAACTCGAAGAAGATGATTGACAAGGCCAGCTTGTAGAATGGTCTCTACATTCTTCCTGTCTCTACTAAAATCGAAATCTCGAAATCTTTCACCGCTTTAGAAAAAGTTGATAATGTTATGTTATGGCACTATCGTTTAGGTCATCCTAGTTTTCATTATCTTGCAAAAGTTTTTCCTACTCTATTCATTCATAAAAGGTCAAATTCTTTTTCTTGCAAAGTTTGCTCTCTTGCCAAACACACTAAATCAACTTATTCTCCTTCTACATATAAGCCTTCTCACCCTTTTGCTTTGATCCACAGTGATATTTGGGGTCCTTCTCGGGTGAAGAATGCTGATAATTGTAAGTGGTTTATCACTTTCATTGATAATCACAATAGGATAACTTGGACTTATTTGCTAAAAGATAAATCTGAAAATGCAGGTGTTTTTACCCAATTTTATAACATGGTTCTCACTCAATTTGGGTCTAAAATTCAGCTCTTTAAATCTGATAATGGCAGTGAATTTTTTGCTAAGTCTTTGGGTGCGTTTTTCAGGGAAAAGGGCATAGTTCAGATTAGTTCTTGTGTTGACACCCCACAACAAAACGGTATTGCCGAAAGAAAAAATAGACACCTCCTTGAAGTTACTCGTTCTCTTCTATTTACCACTAATGTTCCAAAATATTTGTGGGGGGAAAGCCTTATTAACTGCCACATATTTAATCAATCGAATGCTTAGTAAGGTTTTACAATTTCAAACACCTCAATCTATATTTTTACAATACTTTCCCCATTTTAAACCTATCTCCTCCATTCTTCCACTTAAAATATTTGGTTGTACTGTTTTTATCCAAAACATTGCTCCTAATAAGTCCAAGTTAGATCCTAAACGATTTTTTACCACTATGGATATAACATTTTATGAGCAGGATCCCTATTTCACTCGGGCTGAAATTCAGGGGGAGACATGGAAGGATTTTCAGCCACATCAGGTATCTCCTCCTACTCTTCATTCTCAACCTTCAGAATTGCCACCAATTTTGTCCTTACCTACAGATTTGTCACATGTAACTACTCCCATTGATCCACCGGTAGTACCTATCACTACTTCACCTATACCCACTTTAAATACCCTTCCTGAAAATACACCTACTCCCATTCAAAATATTCCACAAACAACACCGATCAAACAGCTCCGTTTCTATACAAGGAAAAGAAAACATATTCCTGAGGCTGTTTTGCAATCTGATGCTTGCCGAGAATTGGATTTGGGTCCAGCTGCCGAAATAGAAGAAGAAATCAGTAAGTCCACTTCCCTTACTCTAGATGACTTCCCTATTGCTATTAGAAAAGGGGTTAGACAGTGCACCAAGCATCCTATTGAAAAATTTGCTGGTTATAATTTATTGATGCCGTCTTTTCAAGCATTTACAGCAAACTTGGATAAAGAACAGGTTCCCACAAAATAGCTGAAGCTCTAAAGGATTCAAAATGGAGAAGGGCTGTTGAAGAGGAAATTTGTGCATTGGAGAAAAATGCAACTTGGACTGTTACGGACCTTCCTCAAGGAAAAAAAGGTTGTTGGCTGTAAATGGATCTTTATTGTAAAGTATAACTCAAATGGTAGCATCCAACGATACAAAGCGAGACTAGTGGCCAGAGGCTTTACACAAACATTTGGGATAGATTTCACAGAAACTTTTGCACCTGTGGCGAAGCTGAATACTGTTCGAGTACTCCTAAGTTTGGCTGTAAATTGCGATTGAAAATTACACCAACTTGATGTAAAAAACGTTTTTCTTAATGGCAAGCTAGAAGAAGAAGTCTATATGAAGTTGCCACCTGGCTTAAAGTCTGTTGAAGGAAATAACAAGATGTGCAAGCTCAACAAGTCTCTATACGGGTTAAAACAATCGCCCAGAGCTTGGTTCGAGAGGTTCACTAAAGTCATCCTAAAAAACGGCTATAAGCAATCCCTCGCCGATCACACTCTTTTCATCAAGATAACTTCTACAAATAAGAAAGCTATCCTTATTGTGTATGTGGACGACATAATTCTTACCCGAGATGATGAAGAAGAGATTTGCAATTTGAAGAAGTTGTTAAATAAGGAATTCGAAACCAAGGACTTGGGAAAGCTAAGGTATTTCCTAGGAATGGAGATGGCAAGGTCAAAAGAAGGACTTGTGATCAACCAAAGAAAATATGTACTTGATTTACTCAAAAAAACTGGTTTTCTTGGTTGTAAGCCGATTGATACACCAATGGAGGCAAACTTGAAATTTAACAAAGAAGATGGGTCCTTGGTAGACAAAGAGAAATTTCAAAGATTAATTGGGAAACTAATTTATTTATCCTTGACAAGGCCAGATATAACATTTCCTGTAAATGTGATAAGTCAACACATGACTAATCCTACTGAAGAGCATATGGCAGCAGCAAATAGAATTCTCAAGTACTTGAAGAAAACTCTAGGACACGGTTTAATGTTTAAGAAGACACAAGACAGAACTGTTAAGATCTTTACAGATTCTAGTTGGGCCGGAGACCTTACTGAAAGGAGATTCACTAGTGGCTACTGCACCTTTGTTTGGGGAAACCTTACAACTTGGAGAAGTAAGAAACAATCTTTCGTTTCAAGAAGTAGTGCTGAAGCTGAATTTAGAGCACTAGCATTGGGAATATGCGAAGGAATTTGGCTACTTAAACTACTGAAAGAACTTGTCACTAATCAAGAGCATCACTTTGAAGTTTTGTGTGATAATCAATCTGCTATTCAAATTGCCAAGAACCCAGTTCAACATGATCGGACAAAGCATGTTGAGATTGATAGGCATTTTATTGCTGATCAAGTTAACAAAAAGACAGCCACACTTTCATACATTCCTTCAGAATAACAAGTTGAAGACATTCTTACTAAGGCTTTGCCAAAGCCTGTTTTCAATAAATTCCTATTCAAGCTGGGATTATACAATGTATATTCTTCAGCTTGAGGGGGAGTGTATGAATTATAGAGATGATTTGTTACCATTCCTATAGAGATATGATTTTGTAAATAGATTTCTACAATCCCTTATTTTAAGGGATCATATACTAGGATTATTATTTTTCCTTTCTTAGAGTTTCCTACTTTAGAGAGAGATTTTGTATATAAATATGTAATCTGTCATATTGAAAATAATAAGAAATTACAGAGAATTACTCTGATTTCTACAATTATGTATTGGTTCGGCCCTAAGGATGATTTGAATGCATTGGAAGTTATTTGGGTGCCAAAATGAAGAGGAAAGAGTCTTTGGCCGAATAGGAAGCATCCCTTGGTGTTTTGGCGCCAATTTGATGTCACATGGAGTGCACATGCTTGAATGATGCACATGGCAGCCTACTTGAATGCACATGGGTCTTCTTGTAATGCTTTGGTGAGGTTGTAACCATAGGATGATGTCTTGAAGTCCATGGAATGGAGATAGGCAGCAACTAGGCGTGACTTAGCTTCCAACATGCATCTAGGTGTCATGGTCTTCAATGGGCAGCAACTTGTCATGAATGGTTACATGTGTAGAAGGTAACCTTTCATCATTTGAGCTACTTTCCATGCGTTTGAGCTAAAGATGAGCTGGCCATAGATGAATTACATGAAGATGAGTCTTTGGTCAGCTCCTTGTGACAAGGCACCTCTTGGAATGGAAACTCTTCGCGAAAAGGTACGAATCCACAAAAATTAACCTAGACCATATTTGTAGTGCTCTGTGTGGTGGTGGTGATGGTGCAACTCTCCAGTTGAAATGAGGTCTCTAGCTAGCTCAAAAATCCAGCTCAAGTCAGCTATGAGCTCGGGGGGTCAGCTGACAACTTTTCACCATTTGTTCTTCATGATCTCCCGAGTCATCCTATGTAAGTTTCCTAGCTCCTTATCCTTAGTTAAGCTCAAATTTAGCTCCCATCATGTGGCCGAATATGCACCTACAAAAGAAAGCATAATATAAGCTAAGTATTTAAAGTAAATAACTTATAATATAAAGATGTGGACTATAGGTTATAATAATAACTCATGCATCATATGATAATGAATGAATATTATTATTATAACTATAGATTATATGCTTGAATATCAATCAATGATGCAAACCATATAATGAATGAATGCACATGTTATGATAATTCAGGTATAGTCTAATCTGTAAATGTATGCTTATAATAATATATAGTGCATAAATAAGTAAATATAAGATAAAGTAAGGTAGAACTCCCTTAGAACCATATTTGAATAACATCCATGGTGTGATCAAGTCATGGAGAAAATTGGAGCTAGACAGGATCACATCATTTAATGTTTTGCACATTAGTTTACATGAATTTTTTAGCCATTTTGTATATGGCCCCACAATCGAAATTTTCTGGTTCCTCCCTTGGACTCTTACACAACTGAAAAGCTTTTGCATATAGGTTTTTTTTCTTTCAATTTCTCGCAATTTTCATTTGTTTGCCCTAATCAGGTTTCTTTAGAAAGGTTGCTAAATGTTTGGCTGTGCTAGTGACCTCTTGCTGTTATTACTAGTTTATTTTACCTACTAGTTTATTTTCTGCAGATGTCTTCAGCTGGTGGTAGGATGATCATCTCTAGCGATGGTGTTTGGGATGCCTTATCGGCTGTCGAAGCTCTTGATTGTTGTCGCAGAATGCCAACAGATGTAGCAGCTGCACAGATTGTGAAAGTAATCTTGAATTACATTTGTCCACACCGTGCTCTATAAATGTTTCTGATGGGAGCACTATGCCCTTCTGCCGTTGCTATATTTTAGTATCAGTTGCCTTTCTTATATATCTTACGACTCCTTGGTCTCCAATGAACAGGAAGCTTTGAAGGCTGATGGTCTTCGAGACGATACAACCTGCATTGTTATTGATATCTTACCACCAGAGAAGCCAGCTCCTCCTCCGATACCACAAAAAAAGCTAATAAAACGCATAATGTCATTATTTCACAAGAAACCTTCTGAATCGTCTTCTCATTCTGATAAAAAATACAAGGAGCCAGATGAGGTGGAGGAATTATTTGAAGAGGGATCTGCTATACTTTCAAAAAGGTTTGTGTGAATGAGGATCCTCTATTTGTTAAAATGTTAAAATATGTACTTCGAATGTTGGATAAAGTATCAGACCTATATATTTCTTGTTTCTATCCGTTCTGTGGGGAATAACTTGCTATGAATAAGGACATGATTTGGTACGTTTTGCTTTCATCTCATGGGAACATGTCTGTTGGATGCAGGTTGGATACAAAATATCCAGTGTGCAACATTTTTCAACTGTTCATGTGTGCAATCTGTCAGTTAGAGTTGAAACCTGGAGAAGGTATTTCCGTTCATGCTGATTCTTCTACTTCAGTGAAGTTACGTCTGTGGGATGGTCCTTTCCCTTGCTCTAGTTGTCAGGTGAAGAAAGAAGCCATGGAAGGGAAAAGACCATCGGGAGGTAATGACTGAACCTCCACTTCTCTTTTTCAATTGCAAATCGTTGTCACTAAAACACACTTTCCCCCCTATTTTCAGATAGATAGAGCAGTGAAAGTAACTAGCCAGGCCTCTCCGATTACTTTGGCATGTTATGGGCTATACCAATCGTTTTTGGAGGTGGTTATTAATGGGGAAGATGGTGCATTCTTACTACAGTGGCTACCTTCAAATTTCTTATTGGAGGGCATGGAACTCTCTGTCCATTTGCAATCGAGGATCCAGATGAATCTATACTCCCAATCCAAAGATCAGTGTTGAAATGTGTTTAGATTTCTCAAAACTACCTCAAGTGGTAATAGAAAAGGAAATTCTAAATACAAAATGAGAAAAGACGGGCAGAAGGGTTTTAGTCTCGGCAATGTCTACTGGCATTGCGTCAGAGGTAATTCTTTTGTATTTTTTTCAAACATCTTTGTCCCCATTGTATACCAAGCGTTTCATTTCTTAGTAGTGTGATAATGTATAGGGCGTTTGATGAGCATATATGCGCATCTGTCAGAAATTAGGAAAAACTTGTGTGACTAGCTTGTTGAATGAAATTTGTTGATCTATCATTTGGTCTATCGATAGAGTTCGGACTCATAGTTTTTAGTGTTCAAGGATGAACCTCTGTCTGTCTTAGTTATCATTAGGAAGTTAAACATACACCTACTTAGTTTATGTATACATATATCTGTTGTTTCGTGATACCTAGTTGTGGAATATTGACCTGTGAGAGTCTGGATTGATAGATATGTTGAGCACGGGACTAGCTTTCTTATCGGGAATAGTAGGCACTGATTGGCTGTGAGGAAGTAGACTCTAGTCAAGTCTCACTATGAACTCACCTTCTGTGTCCAGTCCGTGTACAATTCAAGCTCTATGGGAAGGCAATTAAGTTTCCCCGGGGAAAGGGAAGAAAGTAAAAATAAGATGAATTTATCAGTTATCCCTACAAGAATATTTTGTATTAGCATTTGAAAATTATATTTGTATAAACGTCTTAAATTTTGTAAAACTCACTGATTGATTTTTGTCTGGACAGCTCTTTATGTTTGCTGGACTAGACTCCAAAGAAAGCTGTAACTCATTGCAGAATTTGATTTTTTTTTATAGGTATAAAAAGTTAGAGATGATTTTGGCACCAAATCCTGCATTTCATCAAGCACGGTGTGGCCTTCCCTTTTAGGCAATAGTATTAGCAACTCCTTTTTCATTACCTTTACTCCAAAAGTAAGAGTTTTTGTATTCTATGTATTCTTTCATTCTTTTTCAGTTTTCCTTAACCATTTATCTATGTCCATGGATTCCAAATCGGATTTTCTGATCTTAACTAAATAAAAAAACAACTACTCTGTTTTTCCGTTTTATTTTTTATTTTCTATTTCAAAGGAATAAAAGAACATTCTTGTTCAAATATGTAAATAAAGATTCAGGCAAGGTATATAATTGAATCATTATTCCCATGATATAATAGAAATTTTGCATGGATACTATTCCTAGTCTCTGTAGATTGGGTTGAAGTTCGGTTCCAATTTTTTTCAAGTTTAACTTTGAATCCAACTTGTTCAAATAATCTATTTTTAATTTTAAAAATAATAAAATAATTTTATATTAATAGTATATATGTTTTTTTATCAACTTAAAAAAATAACGATGAAGTGATCATTTTGTTATAAATCGACAACGTTAGTGACTAATTTGTTACTTTTGAAATTTTAGTGGGAAAAATAAAATTTACTCTAACATTAGTGATTATTGTTTTAGTTTACCCTTTAAATAATTACATTTACAGATCGTACTTAAATTATCATTTTAAAATTTAGGAATATTGTGCGCGAGATGAAAATTTAAAAATAGGAATTTATGTCATTTGTTACGTGTACATAAAAATTATAATATAGAGGTGATGAATTTTATAAAATATATTAAAAGCAAAACTGAAATAAATTAAAATTATATGAAATTCACACCTCCACGTAACATATTTCACATATACGGTAACAAGTGATTTACATCTCAAACATTTCTCAACCACTCTAATTTTTCAATTTTAATATCGCCCGCACTATTTAGCAAAATAATTCTATTATGGATTATTATTTTTTAAAATTAATATTATTAAATAAAAATATATAAATAAACTGTTTGAAGGCTTCTCAAGTTTATACCACATTTACCCTTTTCCCATAGTTCTTTCGGCTTTACAAAAATACAATATGGACCTTGGATTCACTCCATTAAAGCAGGCCATTTATGATGCCTATAAAACAAAAGGCTCAATACAAAAATAAGTGTGCAAAGTATACCTTGATAAATATTTTAATACTTAAATTATTTTTCATTAAAAATAAGTGTATCACGTTTTCTTGGTTATACTTTTAGGTGTCTATCGTTTATTTTTTAACTTTTTAATAATAAAAAAATATTTTAATTAAAAAAGAAAAAAATATTTTAATTTATTTATAAAAAACCCAACTTTTTACTGAAATTATAAAAAAATCCTAAAAAACTAAAATCTCTCATTTCAACCTCATTACCAACCATTGCAGGTCATCTCCGGCCACCATCGTCATCGTCGAACGGTCACTCGACCGTCGCCACCTGCCCATTGATTAATCGTCATCCTTATCATCACCCAAAATCTCAAAATCTAAAATGGCCAATATCCAAATCCTTAATTCTCAATTTCAATTTCTTAACCCAAAGGGTTTTCGGCCATCTCTGACCATCATCATCGTCACATAATGGTTGGGTTTTGATTGGAATAGCACGGTGGTTCGAATGATGGCGCAATGTGATGGACGTCAGAATCGGTTGGAATCGACGAAGAACGACGACAATGGCTTAAAATCCGACAAAACTTTGAACTCTTCTCCACGACAAACGATAGCATATTACGATGAAAGGCCAATAAGAGTTAGATCGGGGGTTGACGCTGGTGTTGATGACGGTGGTAAAGATGATCACTGTTGGTCGACCGACGACTTCTTGAAGGAGAAAAGGGGAAGATGAAAGGGGGAAGGGGGGAGGGGGCTGCTGCACTGGGGAGGGATGTTGGTTTTCTTTTTACCAATTTTTTTTAATTTTTTAAATAAATTCTCAAAATTACCAGAACATGACATGTGTCATTTAACAGGGATTTTTAAAGACAGTTAATTTTCAGGAACTAAAAGTGTACCGTTTGAATAATTAGGCACCTAGTTTTAGTGAAAAATTCTTTAGGCACTAAAACATTTTTCGAGACATAGTTTGACTGCTTATAAAACTTAAACAAAAGTGACAAAATATTGTGTTTCTTAAATTCAGTGAGAAAAAGTTTATAAAACTTAAACAAAAGTGATCAATCATGCAATTTACAAAAAATATATATAAAATATAGAAGTATAAACTACAAGATTGATAATTGTCGTTTAAGTTTTGTAAACATTTCCCCACTAAATTAAAAAATGATATTTAATCATTTTCGTTTTTATTTATTTAAGATTTGGTTACTAAGATTTAACTATTATTGTACCTTTAATAAGTTGTTGATGTGACACGATGAATTTATAGTATTAAAAAGGACAAACTACATAAATGGTTACTAATGTTTGAATAATTTTTTTCATATTAAAATTTAAAAAATAACAAATTAGCCACTAAAACATCGAATAGGTCCTTGAAAAATATTTTTATATCTAATTTATTCTAAATGCTTTCTAATTTTTTGTTTATCATTTGAAATATTCGATTGCTTCATGTCAAAGAAAGTTAATTTCTAAGTTTTTTTTTAAAATTTAAAAAGTACATATATAAAAATTGAAAAAAAAATTGAAAACTTTTGAGTTAAATTATATATAAAGGTCTTGCGGTAACTATCGATGAACATATCTTAATTAAATAAAAATAAAAATGACTAAATATTATATTTTCTGAATTCATTGAAGAAAAGTGTATAAAACTTAAACGAAAGTGATCAATCATGTAATTTATCCAAGAATGTATAAAATATAAAAGTTTTAAAAATAAAATACATAAAAACGAATTAAATAAAATAATCCCTACTTTTTTCTTTTAAGTACCGTCTTTCTCATCGTCCTATTAGATAAAAGTAAAACCCAAGGTTTTGTTACGCTAGAGATATTTGGGAAAAGGTTCAGCCGCCTGGAATCTCTCCGTCAGTTCGTCGCCATCCGGTGATAGATTCCGTGCAGACCTGCATTGTCACTCTCTTTTGTCTATGACTCCATGTAGTGGCACGAGGGGAACTACTGCGACATGACATTTGTTGAAATCGAGGCATGGCGTTGTGGAGATCGTGATGGTTTGGTTTAATTCAGTACGGTCCGGATTAGCGATGGGGAAGAGAGGGATGGGCTACAATTTGCAGTCGAGCGATTCGATTGCCGATAGCATTGAAACCGAGATGAATGATCAGTGGTAAGATGGGTTATATGGAAAACGTTTGATCACTCTTACAAACTGAAACACTTATGGCCGTCAAAAGATCTCTGTTAATGCCAACTAGCAGTCCATTAAGCTGAAACACTTACGAGTTGACCTCTTTCTTCAAATTTTAACGGGTTTGTAATTCCTTCAAAAAAAATAATGGGTTTGTAATGGTTCTTTTAATTTTAGGGGTAAAGTTCATAAATAATCCACCAATTCTAGAGTACTACTTTGTTGAGCCCTCAACTATTAAAAGTTACAAAATGATCCTCTGACTAGGGTGATATTTATTGAGTTTCTCGACAATTAAAAGTTATAAAATGGTCACTCGAATACTCTTATGTTCCAAAATCATCATTTTCTGTTAAAAATTGACTGTCGCCTAAGCTAGGCGTTAACTTGTTGATTGGGATGTGATAAAATTTGATTTAAGAACCGTTTGAGTTGTATTTTGTGGATCGACTCTCCATTTACATTATGTCATCAAGCCAATACTTGAAAGCAATGATGATGCTAGTAGACATCATTAAAATATGATTTTATCATATCTCAGTTAGCAGATTAACGTCCAACTCATATTACTGTCAATTTTTTTAACGAAAAAGGACAAGTTTAAAACATATGAATAGTCAAGTGATCATTTTGTAACTTTTAATAGTTAGGGACAACAAAACAACGTCCTATAGTCGTGAGATCACTTAATAATTTTTAATAGTCGAAGAACTCAACAAAACATCGTCTTATAGTCATAAGCTCATTTGTGCACTTTACCCAAATTTTAATGGGTTTGTAATGAAATTTTTTAATGTTAGACCAACACAAAAGTTATTGGTCTTTAAGGTTTCAGCTTAAAGAGGTAACCTAAGATTTTCTTTTTTTGGGCCCATGTTCTTTTAGTAAATTACGTATTTAGTATTTAAATTATCAATTTTGATTCATTTTAATATTTAATTTTCAATTTTTTCAAAATCATACATGACATTTAATTTTTATTTCATTTAGTACCCCAAAATTAAAAACTTAACGCGTTTAGTACCTAAACTATCAATTTTAATATGTTTTAGTATTTAAACTTTCATTTTTTTTCAAAATATAATGTTAAATTTTGAACGGGAGTACTAAAATGAAACAAAAACTAAACTTTAGGTATGATCTTGAAAATTTTGAAAGTTTAGGTATTAAGTTTGATCAAAACTGATAGTTTAGGTACTGAACGTATAATTTACCTTTTTTCCGGTTGAATGATGGTTTAGTTAGACGGTTCAATATGATTATCCGGTGAAGCCGTGAAGACAAGCAACAAAGCAACAGCGGTGTTTTGGTGTGAAGACAAGCAAATACCTGATCTGAAAATGAACATCTTTATTTGGGCAGACATCTATCTTTATTTTAATTTAATTAGGGGACTTGGGCACTTGGCTTCGGAGCCACCACCTCATATCTAATATCAGCCTGATATGGGACTGTGGGAGCCATTCATTGCTGGCTTTTCGTACCAATAAGGATACACAAAAAAAAAAAAAAACAAGGTAAAAGAAATGGCTCACACTAGTGGTCGTGGACTACTTCCCTTCCCTTCCCTTCCTTTTCATAATCAAGGCAGCCCCGTATATGACTATGATTTGAACAGTTCTCGTAAACGTTAGTTTTTATGTGTGGCTCTCTTTTCTTATCCCCTTCTCAACACTTCTTGATTTGTATCATATATTGCCTACATTATCTCCTCCACTCTTAAAATTCAGTGGTATGGACCGTTCCAAACAAGGAAATGCCTCCCCTGAAGACCATGAACTCGAGCTAACCCTTCCAAATTTGTTGTTTACGAAAACGGTTCGAGAACTCTATGCTAAGATTGTGAATGAGTGGGATTTCCTCAGAAAGTCGGCATGCCAAACGGCGGCCGCAAGAGCCCTGTGGAAACATGTCATTCATGACCCTCTTGCACATGTGCTTGCAGGAGAAACATATCTAATTAACCTTCATGAGAAGATTAAGAAAGATCGCCACAACAATGCTCGAGAGATTTCGGGAGTGATCCTGGCTGTTCGAACCCTTTGGTTCGATTCGAAGATTGAAGCTGTTGTTGATTCCTTGGGTGGTGCAGCTCAAGTTGTTCTCCTTGGTGCAGGTTAGCAATCACTCGGACTGTATTACTTACAGCATTAATGTTAGAAGCAATGAAGATATGCATAGCCTTGCTTTTAGAAGGCACTGATCCCTTTATATCCTGCTTTCACATTGATAGTTACTGAACTAGATTGCTCAACAATCAGGGATAGTGATTAAAAATTTAACAAATGCTAGACTATCATCAGTTTAATTTTATAGATATGAAAATCTGGAAATATGTACCTCAGTGTAGGCTTGCATCGAGAGCAGATAAATTCTTCACCGATTCCGAAGAACAGCGGTCATATTTCAAAATAAAAATGCATGATCATCATTTTGCAGGAATGGACTCAAGGGCGTACCGGTTAAGCTGCTTGAAAGTAGAAGCAATGAAGATATGCATAGCCTTGCTTTTAGAAGGCACTGATCCCTTTATATCCTGCTTTCACATTGATATTTACTTTACTAGATTGCTCAACAATCAGGAATACTGATTAAAAATTTAACAAATGCTAGACCATCATCAGTTTAATTTTATAGATATGAAAATCTGGAAATATGTACCTCAGTATAGGCTTGCATCCAGAGCAGATAAATTCTTCACCGATTCCGAAGAACAGCGGTCATATTTCAAAATAAAAATGCATGATCATCATTTTGCAGGAATGGACTTAAGGGCGTACCGGTTAAGCTGCTTGAAAGAAAGTGATGTATTTGAAGTAGATTTCCCTGAAGTCCTGCAAGTGAAAGCTGCTCTTCTTGAGGAGACTCTGGAGTCCACCGAACATCTTTGGTTGATGGAAAAGTCCTTAACAAGAGTAGCTGCTGATATTAGAGAGAATGACTGGGTCGAAAAGCTACAGACCTCCGGGTTTGTACCGGAAAAGAATACAGTATGGATTCTAGAAGGCATCATCTACTACCTCTCGAATTCTCAAGCCATGCAAGTGCTGAAGATCGTAGGTGAAAAGTGTACCCTCACACACAGTTCTCTTAGCAGATTTCATGAACAAAGCATCAACAACGCTCTCAAGTGCTACTTTCCATTTCTACAGTGATTGGCCTGATCATCTCCTGCCATCTCTAGGATTTTCTCATGTTAAGCTTTCACAAATAGGTGACCCGGACGCGCATTTCGGCCTCATGCACGATCCGTTGAATTTGTTCAATAATCTCCGAAACTTGCCAAGGTCGGTAGAAATGAACCCGGACAATGGAACGCCGTGCTGTCGCTTATATTTGATGCAGGCTTCTGGTTCACCTAATCAAACAATATCCCTGAAAGCACCATCCCAACTTAGCATATAGAGATCGTAACCGCAAACATAATGATTATGATATAGATGCATGAATGATTGTTTGCAGTGTTGCTCATTGAATATAAAATCCAATTGAACACAAGCAACATGATCATCAAGCTGTATAATGAACCTTTAAATTGTATAAGCATATACTGTCGCATAGTAGTAAATTCTGGGCAGTTTCTTTGTTAAAGATCAGTCCATATTATTGTATAATTAAGCATATTTTAGTCATGTTTATTGCCAATGATCATAATGCCTCTTATCACCAAGAGATCGGAGCATGTTTGGACAATTTATTACTAACTTATGCATAATTTAACCTAATGGTTACTTAGTATCTACAAATATGTGGATTCAAGTAACATAATACTAAGCACATCTTTCTTCCTGGTCGAGGCTAATCTCGTTACACAAACACTAAAAATCCTATAACAAGTCCCTTATATCCGAAACTATATTAATAACCAAGGACACCATTTTAAAACATAACATACATATATTTTCACTTATTCACATAACGAAGTGATACGGAGCATATCGTATCAATTTCTATATCGAAATCAAAACACATACCTCTATTTCGCGGCACGGTAATAACTTGAAAGCTCAATACATAACCGAACAACATGCATAATATTTTCACACATTTGAACATATGTTCCTACATAAACACAGACGCACAACAGCATACAACTGGGAGTTGGACCGAACAAAACTCGGTTTACTTGAAAAAATTGAATTTTATAATTGAATTTTATGATTCAATTTGATGTTAAAAAGTTTGACCCTATTCATTGACTTGATTTAATTTGAATAATAATTTTATAAACTCAACTTGACTAAAAAATTTTAAATTTAATTCGAGTTATAAATAAAACTCGAATAACTCAAATTTTTTAATAATTAATGAATCATTTCAAAGTTCGAGTTAAGTCCCTAAACTTTATAGATATATGTATATAACATATAAAAAATATAAAGAATTATATACATATATAGTATATGATTATAGAAAATTATTTAAATTTAAATAAAATAATACCATAATATTAAAAGAAACTAATCGCTTTCTTCTCCTCCTCCCTCTTCCCTTTTTTCTTCTTTACAATTTGTGTTAATTTTATTTATCAATTCAACTTTTTCTTCTTTAATTTTGTTTAACCGACGGATGCACCGGTTTTGATGCTGGTTGTCGTCCGTTGATTATCTTTTTTCTTTGTTTTTTTTTTATTTTTTAATAAGAATAATTATGTATTTGTAACATGTTATCTGTCTTTATGACACGTTTATCTCTATCTTTGTGGCACGTTTTTATCTACTTTTTGGTAGCTTACGATTATTTGCTATTATTTTCGTTTATTTTTTCTTCTTCTCAGGATTGGATTTAACATCATCACGACTGATCAAGATATCACTTATTTGTTATTATGATGATATTCCCTTCTTTGAACCCTCGTATTGATTTGGACAGCGTTTTACGTTTGTGGATAAATTTTTCACGTCACTTGACTCTGATTTACGATTTGTCGGTGGTCTTTAGTAGCTTCATCTCCTTTTGTGGTTCGTTTGTCGATGTAGTCAAATTTGTTTCTATTTTTATTTTGTTTGAGCTTTTTGGTTAGATTTTTTAACCTTTTCTTTAGTTGGTCCTTGTGTGATCTAGCTGAATAATTTTTATGCTAATGATTATAGAAAAATATCTTAATTATAATTTTATTTATGTTTACGTTATACTCGTAAATCTTTATTATAATTCTAAATATTTTATATTTTTAATAAAAATAGCTATTTTCTATATAAAAAAAAATTTAACTCGCCTAACAAAATTTAAATAAAATTTGAATTTTTAGGAAAGGAATGTCTATAACAGGAGTAGGCTTTATTGGTCCATAACAGACAATTAGGGCTTGGAACCAGGGTCATCATTTCCTTCGCTTTTCTTCCTTCTTTGCTGTTTCTCCCTACATAATCTCCACTTTTGCAAAAGAACGAACTCGAAGTCATAATGGAAGACAAAACTTCTCAGTTCAAGGTACGCTCAAAATCCTCCTTACTTGAAAATATTGTTTTTAGTTGCTTCTCTTAAAAATAATTTATACCAATAATTCCAGAAGAAAAAGAACAGTTCGATTGATTGATAGCTGTTTATAATGCAGATAATATTGGGGTCGTCTTCCATAACCCGTCATAAAATATTAGCTGAAATGGGATATGAATTCACACTCATGGTAAATTTCACTATTACTAGGAAATTTTAATTTAAATGTTTATATTTTAAGGAAAATAAGTTTCAGTTTTGTTGGTTTTCTCGACAGAGTGCAGATATTGACTAGAAGGCTATCAGAAAGGAGAAGCCGGAGGAGTTGGTCATGGCTCTGGCTGAAGCGAAGGTTCTCTTCTTAATTAATTTTGCACTGCCTATTTGGAATGATTTTTTTTTTTTCACTTTACAGTGCTTTCTTAATGTTAATATTGTAAAATTGGAGGGAATTTTTCAAGTTTCTTTTATTGATTATCAAAACTACGAGCTCTCACCGATCTGTTAAATCTGTTTCATTATCAGTGGTATAAGTGCCAATATTGCAATTTAAGTTTAATAGGCTGCTTAGTTTGAATCACATTCATTTCAGTAAAATCCGGGTTTTGATCCGTGGTAGATTACAATAGAATAAAAATGAAGTATGCCTAATCAAGAGACCTAAACCGATCACGTTTCCCACAACATATGCTTTCAGACTTTAGCCTTTGTATATTCCCTCTTCGGATCATTTATCTGCACAGTCTTTCTTATTCATTGTTTCAATGACTTCTGTTGCCTTCTGCATGGTACTGTGTTCATATGTTCTGTTGCTTAGGCATAGCTGGATTGAAAATTTTCAGGCAGATGCTATCTTACGGAGGCTACCCATTGGTGATTATGTAAAGGAAGCTGAGCCAACATTACTGATTACTTCTGATCAAGTAAAAATATATTCCTTGGATATGCTTTAGAGTTCTGGAAATGTTTAATCATGCCATACTGCCTTTGTTGCATGTGCCAACCTTCTCTTGTAAATGTTATTTGGCTCTGGCTGCTTGGAAGAAAGTTAATACTTAAACCATATATTGGTGAATCAGTTTCCATCTTCAACCTTCAACCTTCAACGAGGTTCTTTTAATTTAATGCTTCTGTAAGTAGACACTGCAATGGATTTGTTCTGTTTTATGGTTAGTGTGAAGTCTTTTGACGGTAATTTTTTCAATACTTTTTAAGGGCCTATAGTGTTACAATTATTCGGATTTACCATCTCCTCCAGGTAGAAGTTCTTTCTCTGTTTGGGAACCAGATAGCCGTAAGATACGCATGACTGCTTCCACTGATTTTTTTTGTTTGCCGAAATCATATATGCCAATTGGTGATAATTCACGCATGTAAGCGTTGGCACATTTAACATTTTCTTGTTTTAGGAAACATAACACTTCTACTTCTATACCTCACTGTTCTTGTTAAATGGTCTGGAGGCGGTGGTCTATGAAGGTGTTATTAGGGAAAAACCAGCCAATGCAGATGAAGCACGTGAATTCTTAAAGGTTCGTCTTAATATTATCGATCCAGTTCCTACTGTTTTACTCTTTTAGAACTTTAATGATTTACCATTCTACAGGCTATTCGGGTGGGCATGCTGCAACCGTGGGATCTGTTCTAGTTACAAACCTTAAAACTGGATTCAGAAAAGGCGACTGGGATAGATTGGAGGTATTAATTGCTTTCATTCTTGATTTGAATTTACTAAACAATAAATCTTACCACTTGCTTGAAGAATTAACAGGCTTTTACGATTTTAATGAATGGGGAGTATCGCAGCAACATAAACTTATGATTTGGTGGCATGCAGTTTAATTAAGTGTTTATGTTCTTTCCTGGCTGTGTCAAGGACCTAGTGAAGACATACTATAAAAACCATCCAAGGACTGACAAAAATGACGACTTCCGATGACTCAGATTATTTTCTGACGTAAGCTGCCAAAACCAAAAGTCAATGAATTTTAAAAATTATTCTCCCAAATTACTCAACCAAATTAACTGCCACATATACTATTAGAAAGATCTCGATGAGTCCGTTCTATAGGCAACCATAATGTTGCAGGAAATTCACTGAAATTTGTCAGAGCTGTGTTTGGTGTTTTTTAAGAACCCTAGAACATACTGCAACACTGTTTTCAAGTCTAAATCTTACATTGCAAATAGAACAATAGATGAAAATGTTTTGGTTTGGACCCCACTCATTCCAATTTCCTTTCATTCCTTGAGGGGGGGGGGGACTATATAGTTCAGTTTTCTTAGTCAAATTGGAAGTATGATAATTAAACTGTCGGCACTTGAGCGTGACAGTACTTAAACAGTGATAAAAGCATGTTGATAATGTGGCTTAACACTTTGTTTTATTGTTATAATTCTTCATTTTTAATCTCGTGCAGATATATTTCCATCAAATATAAAAAAATATCAAATGAAATCATTGAGAAATTGGTAAGTTTTTTCTTTTTTTTCTTTTGAAAAATTTCCCCTCCTTTTGCCAACGGCTGGGGCAATTTCATTGTTTCTTTACTTGATCAGATTGAGGAAGGGAATGTACTACATGTTGCTGGAGGACTGTTGATTGAAAATCCTTTGATGAGGCCATTTATTAAACAAGTAGCTAGTTTTATTATTTATGTGAATCTAAAGTTTGCGTTGGCCTAAGATGTTCGGAATCGTAAAATTTGCGGCAAGAATTTGTAAATATGGTTCTTTCTCCATATCTTCTAGGCAAATTCAACACATGATTACCTAAACATTTTTCAAAACATGTCACTCGGCTTAGGTACAAGGGCATGTGTCGTCCTAGATTTTCATGCATTTGAAGGGTTTGTTGGGGGCATTGTATTCGGATATGCCGCTAACGCGGATTTCCACTATGCTAAAAGCATTTTTCCCCCCTGTACATAAGAGGTAGATAAGCTGTGGTATCGGTATCTTTGCTTTGCAGGTAGGGACGACAGACAGTGTGGTGGGATTGCCGAAAGCTCTGACGGGTAAACTCATAAAGGAAGCTCTCTAGGCTACGCACAATTTGATTCCATTGTTGCAACGTAATTCACATGTATTGTCTTCAAATTGGATCATTTTTTTAAGTGATCACACTTTCCTTTTAT